AAATAGGATTTCGAGTTTGGCAGTTCATTTATGTGTCCAGGCTTCCCAGTCGCAGACACTGGGAGTTATTGTTACTATGTAGTATGTGCATATATTCCTCTATTTTGAATGTACTGTTAACTTTCTGTGCTTGTATCCTCCATTAGAGAACTGTCTTCAGTTTAATAAATTCCTGTTTATAGAAAAATCTCATTTAACAAATGAGTAAAGGGTCATTCTCTCTGAAAGCATAATAATTTGGTTCAGGGGAGAAACTGCTGAAAAAAACATTCTGGCCCAGAAAAGGCTGAAAAATAAAAACTGGCTAAAGTTTCATGCACTCAAGGCAAGAATTTATCAATTAATATTCAGACATAACTGTAATGATGTAGAGTAGAATCAAGTTAATACGGTAGTTCAAATCATGAACTCAAAGATAGAACAGAGCCACAAGAGGTAGGCCCTAGCATATAGTTATACATTGAAAAATCAAGAAAATTGGATTCACACCAAATAAACACACAATAACTCCAATATGTAGATTCAAGTTTGGTCAAATCAAGGTACCCAGGGATATACAAGGAATATGAAAGAACTAAAACCTTCAAAAATGTTCATCTCAAGTACAGCCTGAACATTGTTATACAAGCATCCCTTTGTATTGAAGGTGCAGTTCAAAATCTATTCACTGCTATTGGGAATGATCTGGCCACAATGGGGGGGGGGGGGGGGGGGTAAAAGCTGAATATGAAGTCAAACATCTTCAGACAGAATTACAAAACTATTTATTAAAACTGCAAAACGGTTTAAAATACATCTAAAATCTTAAAGATTTTAATGATCAGTGTAACCATTTCTATCTTTTACGACCCTCCTTCCTCCTTTATTCTCTACACTTTCTTATTCCTTGTAGTTCAAATTTATTTATGTACATTTGTTTGTACATGAAGTGTATTTATTGTTCATTTACTTTGTAGAGGATAATCTAGGTTGTAAAAACTTGTGTCTGATCCAATATTGATTATGTATCAATAAACTTCGAACACTGATATCTCAAATACCAAGTATATGTCGAAGTGATTTGAAACTACAGTTGAACTTTGGTATTTCGAACACAGAGTGAGACATCTAGAATCCCATGGATATGTCTAAGTGATTGAGAAGTCCTGACCACGTATTTCTTAAGTATTTTACCCTGGATATCTCAAACCCTTGGATATCTCAAATTTTTTCTTGGTCCCATAGAGTTCGAGATAACAAGGTTTGACTGATATCTCCTGTTTTTTTCTCGGTCCCATGGAATTCGAGATAACGAGGTTTGACTGTAATTATGTAAATCCCAAAATATATTTTAGAATTCCCCATTCCAGTAACTGACCTTGGATTTGGCCACAATGGAAGTTTCAAATTGATTTTTTACATAAGCAAAATAAATAGAGGATATTCAATATCTTGTAGTTGGATATGGAATTTATTTCACGAGTGGGACAGGACTTTTTTATATTTTCACGAGTGCGAAGCACGAGTGAAAATATAAAAAAAATTCCTGTCTCATGAGTGAAATAACTTCCATATTCATCTACAAAACATTGAATTTTCTGTTTATTACATTTTCATTGATTTTATTTTTGCCTCTGTCTTTTCTTAACGCTGTGTCATAGGCTGTGACGTCATAGTTGAGCAGTTGAGACGTCATAGCTTAGCAGTTGTGAGATTGAAAACATATTTGGGAAGAAATTGGCAGTTTGAGTCTCATTTAAGATGGTTTAATTACTTTCTCAATCTTATTACAGGCCAGAAATTATATTTTACTTACTTTGATATCCTATCACTGTGACAGAATATCACTTTGGTATCCTTTCACACTGTGAGAGAATATCACTTTTATTCAATAAATAAATCACAGTATTTCACTGTTGAAAATGTAATAAAAGATAAAATCCTTCAATATTTTCCTTCATGTATAGGGAAGATAGCTTAATCAACAGACAGAAATGAGAGAGGTTATCTACTTAAATGAAGTACTGTAGAGATACGTACTTTTTACCACTTGGGATAAATTTCCACTATGTACACAGTCACAATTTTTCCATTGAAATTTGTCAAAGCTTACTTAAAATTTACTAAGGACATAAAATGACAATCTAAGATATCTGCATAATTTTCTACTCGTGGATAAATGGTTTTCCTATGATATATTTTGCCTTTGAGTTATTCCCCTTGGCTGCCATCTTGTAGGTCAAAGTAGTGAATTTTCCTCTTTGAGCAACCAATTTTAAACATGCATGCCAGAAATATATGGTAAAAAATATTTGCAATATTGAAATTATGAATTAAAAGAAGCTTTAACAAACGTATATTTATAAGAAAAACAGTGTTATCTTCTCCTCAGTGCTCAGTATAACAAATTTAACTTGGTTGAATAATGAACGGATCTGGGGATGTTGATCTACAATATGGCGGCCATGGGAAATAACTCTTAATGCTTAAATCACCTTGATGGAAAACCATCTACTGAACAGAAATTGTGATTCTGCAGAATTATGACCCTGTGGAAAAATGTATGTTTACAGTAATTTAAAAGAAAACAAACTCTCTATGACAATTGAGTGTATAATTTCATGATGATTCTATCTCCTGCTTTATTAAAATCAAAATCAAAATCTAGCCTTTATTTTCAAATATTTATTTTGATATTACATATTTGGTCTCATCTCAAATTCCACTAGTACAAATAAATTAACTAAATTACAAATACATGTAATAATATTAAAATGTAACAATGTACATATGTTTTTTTTAATAATTCATTTCACATTTAACAATTGGTGTAAAAATTCTACACATCTAATGCATAGACTTGGTACACACATAAATTATCTATCCAACAACATATGACAACTGGAATGTAACAATGTAGATATATAGACCAAACAAAACACTATCAAAATTCATTTGGTTTATTCCGCAGCAGTTAGAGTAATGAATTTTAATGACTAATGTTTACATTGTGTGATGTTGCATTAATAAAGTTGAGAATTTTTATTCTTGATGATTAATTTCTGCTTAACATACATAAAATGAATTACATGTATTTTCTTTCTCAAAATTCTTCAGTAAAAATATACATGATCAAGTTCTATAATCACACAAAAAATTTATTCATAACATTTATTTCAAAAAAATGCATATTGAATCAATGTGTTCTGCATAGACTATATCATGTCTGGAAAATCATAGGTCCACCACTCCTACACTCACTATACTAAAAGTCTGCCTTCTTTTTATGGTACTGTTAAGGCCTGGACCTCAGAAGTCAAATTTAATCAGATTGCAAAGCCTGGTGGGTAAATTTCTGCAGTGTGTTTTTTTGTTGGGGGGGGGGGGGGTTACTCAATTTTTGTTTTGGGTAAATCCAACTGATTTTCAAAAAAAGGGGGCTCTTTTTTTTAAGGATCACATTGATGAAATCAGTTGGGGAGGGAGGTGGGGGAAAATTAAAAAAAAATTATGGTCATTGAAACCAGAAAACATCTGGAAGTTGAAAGCATACATCCATTTTAAGATTTTGAAAATTAAGGGGGAAAAGAGTTGTATACATAGAACAAACTTGAATCAAAGAAAGTTGATTCTATCTCTGGTCTTTCAGGTGACCTTAAAGATATGAAAAATGAAGAGTAATATTTATTGTTAATTAGAACAATATTTCATGTTTCTAATTTAAACTACATGGAATGACTCTGAGAAGTAAAGTATATCCAAGCAAAATTCAGCAAAATATTTTTGAAAAATTCTCTCTCATATAAGCTATAGAATATGGCAACTTAAGTCAAATACACAACGGTAGAGAAATCATATATAAATCTTAATTTAGTGTATATATGTTAAAATGTACATGAACCTCACTCATATTAATACCATTTCAATATTATGATAAAATCATGAAGAACACCATAGGTATATGACCCTTTGTACATAAAATGTGAACACTTTTTGACAATACACTGTACACCAATAGAAGTGTTAATTGTAAACTATGACATCTAAATTATAATAACATTAAACTAAACTCTTCCTCATTAAACAGCAATCATTATAAAATTTACCATTATTACAAAATATATTCATCATTAATAAAACCTGCACAATAAGCTGTATTTTGAATTAATGCAAGGATTTTCTCAAGCTTTATTTGTACATTGAATAGAGTTTATACCTTTTTGTGCCGATTTAATTAAAATTTTGATAGGAATATCATCTATTGCACGTATTTAGATGAATTAAAAAAAAAATTATTATATTAAAAAATTATTTCCATCTTGATATAAAGCAAATAATATTTTTTTTTGCTCTTTACTGCTACTCCCAAGTATTTTTGTTAAAAATAATCAATATATAGACATATTTCCATCTGGCAAAATCCATATAATTATTAATTTAACAAAAAAAAAAAGATTTAAGAGTAAAATCTTGGCCACAAACTTAAAATATTATAAAGCAATGGATTACATGTATTTCGGTAGAAAGTTGATTGTTGCAGATCAATTTTTTGAAAAAGAATTAAAACAAGATTAAATAGAACAATTACATGTAATTACACATGATTTACAAGAATTGTGAATGAACACAGTAACATATGGATAAACATGATTGTGAATTTTGAGCACTTCATTATGGCCATTTCAGAAATGTGTTTTCATGCAGTATTTCTGACATGATTTTTAATGACAAAATGCACTTCTGAATACATACTTATTAATAATAAATATTGGTTTCATTACCCAGTAAACATTTCCTTTATCTTTCTGCTGTTTTTAGGTCTGTAAAGTATATACATGTAAATTGTTGTGACTTACTTAGAAAATTTGAGATTACTCAGAATACACAGCTTTTTGGTAAAACATGTTTCATTCAGGGATCCATACTAACTCAAATCAAAACAGATTTTAAATTCAAAAAAGCATTTATGTTTATCATTATAAACAAAACAAAATAAAAAATACTAACTTTTGCATGGACAGGGGACAAAAATTGAGGTTTTGATTTCAGCAGTATTTTTGAATCTTCCCACTGTATAAGGTTAATAATGTCAGATAAAATTCTGCAATATAATACCTTATATTGATGCTTACACTCACAACCACACAGTGACCCTGATAATCAAAGAGTCATTTCAAAATGCAGATGTTTTCATAAAACAGAAAATAATATGGATGATTAAGACAGTAGGAATAAAATAATCTTGAAAGTTAAGCTTCCTGAAAATATGCATGTATTTATTATTCAAGAATAAGAAGAGAACAAAGAAGAAGAAGAAAGGGTGCATCTACCTTAAACTCTCTATTCACTAATAGGTCATCTACCTTAAACTCACTATTCACTAACACTCTTAGAGGAAAGTCTTATATCCAAACCAGTAACACCCATGTGATTCAATAATCAAATACATGTACAAAAATAAATACATCTGATTGGTCATTTGTCATCAGAAATTGAGTTAACTGATTGGATGAATTCATAGAGACATTTGATTGGTTAACCACATTTTCCTAATTTTCATCAGATGAACTCTCAGAGCTGGGGCTGTCTTCCTTTTTAATTCTATCAAACTTGTCCATCCCATGCTTCTCTTTAGTATTGTCTTCTCTGTAAAATATTAGCTCAACATTTTAATTTTTTTGTTACATTTTTTTAAGTTTTTAAGTAAGATGCCCTTTATTCTTTTTATACATTTTTTGTGGACAATAGATCAAAGAAAATTATATAACATTGATAACTTGACAAATCTCAATAAAACTGGCACCCCGTTTCATGATTCTGTCTAATTTCCCTTGATATTCTTTCTGCAAAAGTCAGCATTTATGATACATGTACTGGCTCCAGGTCTTTCTAGGTTTTAAATTAAACTAACTTAGCAATAATAAAGTTCACTGCCAAGGCAAAATATGCCATCAGACACTGTTGATGAAAGTGCATAGAACAAAATCATGTCAATTTTGACTATATAACTATATAATAAAACAATTATATAAGGACTCTTTTGGTGGTTAATATGGTTTGATATTCACCATAAAAATTTTATCAATAATGCCCATTCCTGTGCAGAAGTTAACTTCATGTGTTAAAAAAAAATGTAACTATAATTTGGGAGTCTGAAAAACAACTGCAGGGAAAAGTAAATGGTACTGTAAACCAACTTTTATTCGCAACAACTTTATTTCGCGATTTACCGAGGGTAAACTAGTTTGCGACAATTAATTTTTCGCGATAAAGTCGTTTTTTTGATCTGATGTTAATAGAAAGAGAGACTTTAAGGACCGGTTCGCGGCGAGAAATATTCGCGATGAAGAGGCTCTCGTGAACCTCGCGGAAATTTCTCGCACGCGAATAAAAGTTGGTTTACAGTATATATTTTTTCTCCATAGAAATGTGTATCTAGTTTATTTGTTGATATTTCAAATCACGACCTCCTGGGGTAGGGTGGGACACAACAGGGGATGAAAGTTATACATAGGAATATATAGTAAAAATCTTTTTCTCAAGAACAGCAAAGCCAAGATTAGTCATATTAATACAGAAGCAACCTCAGGTAGTGTAGATTCAAAGTTCAAATCAAGATCCCTGGGAGTAGGGTGGGGCCACAACAGGGTATCAAATTCATACATAGGAATATGTAGAAAATATCTTTAAAATCTTATTCTCAAGGACAGCAAAGCCATGATTACCGGTAGTCATATTAATGGAGAAGCATCCTCAGACAGCCATGATATATAGAGGATACATTGTGTGATTTGATATTTTCGAGTTGAAATGGTGTATATTCGCAAGGCTTGCCGAGTGAATATACACCATATCAACAAATTGAACTTCACTATACATGTAGTACAGTTGAACTTCGCTATCTTTGAACACTGGTATCTCAAATACCATGGATATGTTGAAGTGATTTGGAAGTCCCAACCCCTTGTTCTTTAAGTATTTTACCCTGGATATCTTAAAGTTTTTCTTGTCCCACTGAGTTCGAGATAACAAGGTTTGACTGCATGTATAGTTTGATACATAAGAACTTTAGTGTAGACAGGGTTGGCTCTAAGACCCAGGGGCCGGGGAATTTCCCCGCCTATAATGATGTAATCCCCCGGTTATTTCGGTATTCCTTCTAAACTCCCCAGTAAGGGAGGAACCCCAGTTCCCCTTCTACTTTTTAAATGTCCCCTTCTATTTCAATTCTTAGGGACAACCCTGGTAGAGATTCAATTTCATTTTCTTTTGTGACTTCAAAGCTATAAGACAAGTAAAAGTTGAAGCTTAACACATACAATGACATTGATCTTTAGAATATAAATTTAGTTTGCGGTGATGATACACTAAAGAAAGTGTTACTGTTGTATACAATATCAACTGTTTTAAGAGATATAGTCTGGATAATTCATTGTTACAGTAATATGGTCAAATTCATTCTCATTTGAGCTGTAGAGATAATTACAGTATGAAATGGAATATTATTTCTTTAACTAAATTATAATTCTGAATTATTCCATTGCTTTACTACCCCTGACAATTATGATGTCACCTTGAATCATCATATGATTGACATACTCAATATTAGAGCAGCTATTGTATGGAACATCATTATTTTTCAATTGTGGCTTAATGCATCATATATACATACGGACTGGACAATATTTACAACATTCTTAAAAATGATGTGGTTTTTCAGCAACTGCCACAATGACCTTGACCTTTAAAATAATTGAAGGTCAAGCTTAAAACAGCAGCTTCCGAAGTTTAACAAATGAATTAATTCACTAATAAACAAAGGGAATTCTATATATCTCCATCTTTTAATATCAAAGGTTTCAAGATTTCATTTTCAATTATACAACATGAAAAAAGAAAAGGCCGAAGTTCACAATACTCACCTGAGTCTCAACAATTCTAAACATTTTTTAATACATGCTAATATGCAATAAATCCAACAATTTTCTAGGGTCAAAAGGTCATATCAGTAATCCTGCCTGACCTTGACTTTTAGCTCACTAACACCCATGAATATGAGAGCCTTGTCATATCACCTGGAGTGTTCACTGACTTACAAACAAGATATTAATAAATATCATTTACATTTTGAGAGATAAGAACTCTAATCAAGAATGATGCCGATTGCAAAAAAGGAATGCAAGGTGTATTCAATGAATAATTACCAGGTGTATTAACTGTCATACTAGAGATGCTACTAAAAATTAGCTGAATCAGTTCAAAGACAATCCAATCACCATGAAATTCTGAAGACTTAAAATCTTTGAAACACTGAAAAATGTCTGTCAAGTTTGGTGAAAGGCCAATAAGAAAAGAACAACATCCGTGCTACATGTAGATTTCTGAATGTTTTAAAAAAAGCATCAGTAAATTTCTAATTAACATATTTTATATACAATTATTGCTGGTTTTGAGGTCAATACGATGATTTAGACACCTGAGGAATACAATATTCACGGAGCCTGAAGGGCCAGGTGAATATTGTACTTTGAAGGTGGCTAAAACATCATATTGACTGAAAAAAAAACAGCAATTATAATTATTTTTATTAAATGATTAAATGACACATACTCATTATACAATCTATGCCATCTTACTTCTTTACATACTATGTAGTACTAGCCAAACACAATAACGAGAGAAACAGGGTTAAAATAAATATAATCAGTTGTATTAATTTGGAATTTTAAACTCTATTTTAGGTGCAATGTAGAGAAAATAAATATAAGGAGAAAAGGGGGGGGGGGCATCATAAGAAAGAAATTGATAACATGCCTTAAAAAATGTTACTGGCCCCCCCTCCCAAAAAAAAAGAGAATTCTCCCAACTCAAAATTTTATTTGATGGAAGTTAAAGTCCATAAACATGGGAGGGGGCTTTCATTGAACATTTTTAAAATTTTACATTCTCAAAAAAGATGTTGAGTGGGACAGGACCCTGCAACCCCCCCAATCCTCATCCAAAACCCTATGTGCCTTAATATTATGTTCATATGAATGGAAGTCAGGTGCAAAGTGAAATAACTTTCCAAAACTACTTGTATCAATTTGGAATTTCCCAATCTACCGGTACATTTTTAGTCTCATGTGAGAGAAATAAATCCTTATATTCACCTGGAAGGTCACATGCAGGTGAATATAACATAGTATTTTTCTGCATTGTTAGATCTCAGACAATCAGAGAGATGGGAATTATTCAATCATATAATAAATATGTATATAGTGAGCACTGAAGGTTACAAAATTAGAAAGAATATGTACGTATACCCTTTATCAGAGGCTCATACTCGTTATTTCACTGGTATTTCCTGTTTGCATATCCATACATTCCATCAATTTCCAAACTGAATCAAATATGGTACATAAACATTTACCAGTGACAGAAGTTGTGGTGTTTTTAAATGTATATTCTTCTACGGAATTACCGCCATGAAACATATATACTTGTTACTTTTTAGTTGCCCTGAATCACCTACTGGAAAGATGCTCTCTTGGTAAAAACATGGATAGAACAAATACAATTACCAGTATAGGACAGACAAGTAAGAGTAACAAGTATGGGAAATGTACAGTTTAACGCGGCTAGGATAAGGCTGTCCGTAAAATATCAAACTGTTCCAACTGTAGTAACTTCTCTGAACTACCTAGATATGACGTCTTAATAGCATATGACGTCAAGTCACTGCATACTTGAGCTGACATGACGGGGAAAGTGTCATAACTTATACATTCCTTTCACATGACGTAAAGATTTTTTAGCGTTGTTGTTTTGATTCAAGTGTCTGGATTGTTCTTTAAGCTTAAGTATGCTGTTATGATGTTGAATATTTGCATTTTAATATCGTTATTCCTTTAACTTGTCCGATATACATATATTCAAACAATAACAAAAAATTGAATGTGAAACCTCCCCTTCCACGTCCGTGGACAGAGTTAGAATTTATAAATTGTGTATATTTTTGACTGGCACAAGTGATTAATAAAAATAAATTGAAGATATTCTGTGTGAATCTACTAGAGAAGTAGGTCCTCTAACTGAATTTTGCTGGGGGATTGTATGTAATTTATCCTATTTTGACAAATTGTATAAATTGCAATAAAGAGTGGAAAATTTCCCCTTGTATGTGGGTACGTTGAATTTCTCGCGGAATATTTTCTCAGGAAGTATAATTCAGACTTGCCCCCAGCACTTTATATGTAACAAAGATCACGATGAATTGACTTATGTAACAAACAGTTCTCAATAATGTTGTTTTGCACTTGTGCTGATGCGATTTTTGTGCAACATTTATGAATTTCTAAGTGTCCGTCACGTGATCAAAGTCATGTGACATCACAAAAATGCATTATCACAATACCTGATTACATTCTCATCACAAGTGTACTGCAAATTCATACATATATTACAAATTGAAATTAAAATCTAGCTCAAAATAAAATGTATATTTTAATGCATATTAAGCCTTCGTACAGCCTTAACACAGCTGCGAAAGTCACTTGGTAAAAGAACTGCCCTGAAATGTTTATCATGAGACACATGTATGTACCAGGTATGTTGTGTGGATCCCAGAACTGATGCTAACAGTGACACATAAGTGTATAACATAA